TGGGGTTTTTTTGAGGGATTTTCATGGTGTTTTCAGGGTGTCTCAGGGGTGGTTTTGGGGAGATTTTTCGGGGTGTTTTCAGGGTGTTTTTTGGCTGGTTTTGGGATGATTTCGGGATGTTTTTGGGGAGATTTTTGGGGTGTTTCCAGGGTGTTTTCGGGGTGTTTTTTTGGTTGTTTTTGGGGTGTCTTGGGCTGGTTTTGGGGTGATCTTCGGGGTGTTTTTGGGGAGATTTTTGGCGGTTTTTTGGGGTGTTTTCAGGATGGTTTCGGGGTGCCCAGGGGTGTTTTTGGGGAGATTTTTTGGGGGTTTTTGGGGGGTTTTTGGAACGTTTTCGGGGTGGTTTTTGGCGTTTTTTTCAGAGGGATTTTCACGGTGTTTCCAGGGTGTTTTCGGGGTGTCTCTGGGGTGTCTCCAGGGTGTTTTTGGGGAGATTTTTGGCAGTTTTTTGGGGTGTTTTCGGGGTGTCTCTGGGGTGCCTCAGGGTTGTTTTTGGGGAGATTTTTGGGGTGCCTCAGGGGTGTTTTTGGGGAGATTTTTGGGCTGTTTTCGGGGTGTCTCGGGGTGTCTCAGGGGTTTTTTTGGGGAGATTTTCGGGGTGCCTCAGGGGTGTTTTTGGGGTGTTTCCGGGGTGTCTCGGGGTGCCTCAGGGGTTTTTTTGGGGAGATTTTTGGGGTGTTTTCGGGGTGTCTCCAGGGTGTTTTTGGGCTGTTTTCGGGGTGTCTCTGGGGTGTCTCAGGGGTGTTTTTGGGGAGATTTTCGGGGTGTCTCGGGGTGCCTCAGGGGGGTACGGCGTCGCGCACCCAGCGCAGGTACGGGGGGTTCCCCTGCGCCACCGGCAGCGCCACCACCTCGGGCACCTCGTACGGGTGGTGGCTCCTGGGGACAGAACCCAAACAGGGACCCCAAAAATCATCCCGGGAACCCCAAAACCCCAAAAACCCCCCTTAAAAAAACCCAAAATCCCAAAAATCCCCCTCAAAATCCCCCCAAAAAACGGCCCTGGGAACCCCAAACCCCCCCAGGGCACCTCGTAGGGGTGGGGGATCCTGGGGACAGAAACCAAACAGGGACCCCAAAATCACCTCGGGAACCCCAAAACCCCAAAAACCCCCCTTAAAAACCCCAAAACCCCAAAAACCCCCCTTAAAAACCCCAAAATCCCAAAAATCCCCCCAGGGGGGCACGGCGTCGCGCACCCAGCGCAGGTACGGGGGGTTCCCCTGCGCCACCGGCAGCGCCACCACCTCGGGCACCTCGTACGGGTGGTGGCTCCTGGGGACAGAACCCAAACAGGGACCCCCAAAATCATCCCGGGAACCCCAAAACCCAACTCAGGAACCCCCAAAACCCCCAAATGTAACTCAGGAACCCCAAAACTCAACTCAGGAACTCCAAAATCCCCCAATTCCCCCTGAATCTGGCCCTGGGACCCCCAAACCCCCCCGGGCACCTCGTAGGGGTGGGGGCACCTGGGGACCCCAAAATCATCTCGGGAACCCCCAAACCCAACAGAGGAACCCCAAAATCCCAAAAATCGCCCCAAAATCCCACTTAGGACCCCCCCAAAATCACCCCGGGACCCCCAAAAATCCCGGCACCTCCAAAATCCCCCAAGGACCCCCCAAAAACCCCCTCTGGAACCCCCAAATCCCACCTGGGACCCCAAACACCCCTTGGACCCCCAAATCCCACCTGGGACCCCCAAAAATGTATCCAGGACCCCCCCAAATCCATCTGGAGCCTCC